GAGAATTCTTTGTTTCTTTCTAGCTTCTCATGATTGCTGACAATCCAGAATAGTGTCTATAATTTTTCAATTATTCTGGAGCTGTGAATCAAGATGACTCAGAGGCTGGGGGTTGAAAGTTATTAGAAGAATCAGTGAATATGATGTTTGTGAGAGCTGCTAAGGCTTGGATAAACAATTAACTCACAATTATAAAGATTATCAAAGAGATGTGTTAGTCTCATGTTATTATACAGATTTTTCTTCAAACTTCACACTTTCTTGTTTAAATGTCATGTTGCACTCTTAGACAAATGAGAAGGGTACAGATAATGGCAAAATGAGAGGAGGGGTCCACAGGAGTACTGTAAGGTGTGGAGAGGCCTCTGCAGAGGGTGCAGAGATTCGGTCACAGGAAGCCTGAAGGTGCTGACACCCACCTCCTCACTTGTTGCAGCAGTCCTGGTGCTGACCACGGTGGAGTGGTGAAGCCTGAAGTAGTTCTCAGCAAGAGAATGAGCCCAACTCTCCTCAGCAGAGATTGTCCCCACCTCTCTCACTGGAGATGTGGAGTGCCAACCTCTGATGCCAAGATGCCAAAATTAGTATAATATATGTACTTCTTCAGTGAAATAATAATATACTACTCACATATAAATAGAATATATCAGTAATATAACAGAAATGTCTTATGGTTGAATGGATGCTGAGCCACATGGAATGAACCACTGAGCACCTAACTTGTATAGTGTATTTATGTCCTCACTCAGACTTCTAAAAGTGAATCTAAAATAATGAAAGACAGTTTTCTTCCCCCAAGAAGCTCACAGGTTTTTCAGAAATAACTTTATTTCAAACACTTTTTGTTCTGTAAGCTACACGATGATATTTCTGAAATTTCATCCTGTTCCTTAGCATGAGGGGAGGAGCGTATGGAGGGAGGATGTTAAACTTGCCAGTTAGCAGCCCCAATGCCTATTGACAAGTGAACGGGTACATAAAATTGGTATATACACACAGTGGAATATTTTTCAGCTTTGAAAAGAAAGGAAATTCTGACACATATGGCAGCGTGAATGGACTTGGAGGATATTATGCTAAATGAAATAAGCCAGTCACAAAAAGTCAAACACAGTCCTCCATATCCGTGGGTTTCACATCCCTGGATTTAACCAACTGTGGATCAAAAATATTTGGGGAAAAAGACAATAAAATTAATGCAAATAAATAACAATACAGTATAACAACTGTTCGCATAGCATTTACATTGTATTAGGTATTATAAGTAACATAGAGATGATTTCAAGTATAATGGAGGATATGCATAGATTATATGCAAATACTACACCATTTTATATAAGGGACTTAAGCATCCTCAGATTGTGGTATCCCTAGGTGTTGGGGGTCCTGGAGCCAGTCCCACAGGGATACCAAGGGACTGTACTGTGTGACTCCACTTATGTGAAATACCTAGAGTGGTCAGATTATAGGAACAGAAAGTAAAATGGTGGCTTCCAGGGGCTGCGGGAGTGGGGAAATTGTGAGTTAGCATTTAACGGGTACAGAGTTTCAGTCTTGCAAGATGAAAAGAGCTCTGGTGATAAATGGTAATGATGGTTGAACAGCAATGTAAATGTACTTAATATTACTGGAACTGTACACTTAAAAGATGGTTACAATGGTAAAATTTATGTGCATTTTACCTGACTTGGATTGAGTGTCCCCCCAAAACTTGACCCCTACTGTGAAGTGTTAAGAGGGGGGGAAATCCTTTTATGGTAATTGAAAGGTGGGGCTTGAAGAGGTGATTAGATTGTAGGTCTATGCCATAGTGAATGGATTAAAAATGGTGGTCCTGGGCATTGTTTACAGGGCTTTAAAAGGAGAGTGAATGAAGAGGTTAGTCTCTCTCTGCTCCAACATTTCTGCAATGTGATACTCTCCATCACTGAAACCACTACCAAGACTCTCACTAGATATGTTTCCTGCACTGTGGACTTCCCAGCCTCTGAAACTGTAAGTGATAAATTTAATTTTCTTAATAAATCACCCAGCTTCAGGTATTTTGTTATGAGCAACAGAAATGGTCTAATACAGAAAATTGGTACCAGAGAAGTGGGGTGTTGTTTATAAAATATACTCAAAAATATGGAAGCAGCTTTGGAACTGGGTTTTGAGGAGAGGCTGGAGGAATTTGGAGCAAGGGGCTAGAAAAAGCCTAGATGCAGGTCAAAGATTCGAAGACAATAAAATCAGAGAAAGTTTGGAATGTTTTAGAGGTTGGTAAAGTGGTGGCAATTAGAATGCTGATGGAAATATGGACAGTAAAGACCACTCTAAGGAGGTCTCAGATGTAAATGAGAAGGGACTTACTGGAAACTGGGGCAAAGATCACCCTTGCTATGAACTGGCAGGAACTTGGCTGCATTGTGTGATGCCCTAGGACTTTGTGGAAGTTGGAACTTAAGAGTTGTGAAACAGAATATTTGGTGGAAGAAACTTCTAAGCAGCAAAGCATTCAGGGAGCCGCACAGCTACTTTTAACAGCTTATGCTGAGTTATGACAGAAAAGGCACGATGTAAAGCCAGAATTTAAAAGGGAAGCAGAGCATAAAGATTTGGAAAATTTGCAGCTTGGCCATGTGGTAGTGGAGAAGCAATGAAGAAAAATGCAGTGACACTAGGATGATTAGAACCAAGGAAAGGGATTATCAAGAGAAGGGGGAAGGGCCCTGAAGGCATTGCAGAAACCTCTGGGGCCAACCCTTCCATTTTGGGCCCAAAGGCCTAGGGAGACAAAATGGTCTTGGGGAACAGGCCTGAGGCCCCTCTACATGCTCACTTCCCATAGCCACTTCAGGATGCTGCTTCCCACAAGCCTGCTGCTCCAGCCTGGGCTAAATTGGCCCCAAGTATGGCAGGACCTGCAGCTTTGAAAGATGCAAGCCAGAAGCTTCGTCAGTGTCCACATGGTGTTAGGTCTGCAGGCTTGCAGAATGGGAGAGCTGTGAAGACTTGGAAGCCTCCACCCTGATTTCAAAAGATGTGTGGAAAAGTCTGGGGCCCAGGAAGAGATCTGTTGTAGAGGCAGATTCACTACACAGAGCCTTCACTAGACAATGCTAAGCAGAAATGTGAGATCAGAGTTGCCACAGAAAAATCCCCAACAGTGCCATGCCTAGTGGAGCCATGAGAGCAGGACTACCATGGAGACCTCAGACCTGTGGAGTAACCAGCATGCAATGCCAGCCTGGGAGAGCTGAAGCATGGCCTCAGACCAGGAAAGCCACACGAGTGGAGCTGCCTGAGGACTTGGGGACCCAACCCTTGCATCAGCACGCAGAGGATGTCAAACATGCAGTCAAGGTACATGATTCCCCAGCTTTAAGATTCAATGCCTGTCCTGCTCGGTTTCAGACTTGTTTGGGACTTATTACACCTTTCTTCTGGCCTATTTCTCCCTTTTTGAATGGGTATATTGTACCCTATGTTTTCTCCACCATTGTATCTTGTAAGTAGATAACTTCTTTTTTATTTCCCAGATGGGACTTTGGAACTTTGAGTTGAAACCAGTTAAGACTTTGGGGATGAAATAAATGTATGTGTATGTGAAAAGGACATGAGTTTTGGGGAGCCGGGGCAGAATGCCTTGGATTGATTAACCCCCACTGTGGCAGTGTTAAGGCGGGGGGAATCCTATTATGGTAATTGAAAGGAGGGGCTTGAAGAGGTGATTAGATTGTAGGACCATACCATAGTGAATGATTAAAAATGGTGGTCAGGGGCATGGTTTAGAGGATTTTAAAAGGAGAGCACATAAGAGGTTAGTCTCTCTCTCTGCACCATTTTCGCAGTGTGATACCACCACCAAGACCCTCACCAGATGTGTTTTCTGCACTGTGGACTTCCTGGCCTCTGAAACCGTAAGTGACAAATTTCATTTTCTTTATAAATCACCCAGTTTCAGATATTTTGTTTTAATCAAATGGGTTTTTTGTTATAATTAAATGGATTAATACATACCACAATTTTTAAAAAAGAGTAAAAACCAAAAGCTGGTTTTTTAAAATTAGAATATAAAAACTAATCCTCTCATAAAACTTTATAAGAAAGAGAGAGGAAAAACTATACATCATTTGATTGAGAAAAGAAATAAAATTTATGCCTGTGGGAGTAATGACAAATTTTATGAATAAGGAAATATTCTATCCTAGTTGGCTTATTACAAGCTTATACCAGTTGTCTTTACGTGACTGTGAACAGTGGCCATTTGCTCTAAAAAGTTAGACAATCCATTATATAGTTAACCAATTTATAAGGAATTATTACAATGAATATGAAGATGGTAAATTTGAAAACAGAGAGGAAATAGATAGTTTTGTTTATTTAAATACAAGATAATTGTCTACAATTGACCCAAGAAGAACAGAGAAGTTTGAGAAAAGAAAACACCATAAAAACTTTAGAAAGGTTGTGAGAACCCGTTATTAAGTCCTCAAGATACAGTTTCATAGCTGAGTTCTATCTAGTCTTCAGAGAACTAGAGAATTACAACAGTCTTTAAAAATTCTAAGAGCCCAGTTGATTTTATGAAGACAGCCTAACTTAAATGCCAAAAACCAGAGACATGGTTCCAAAAAAGAATAAATAAATATAGATATAAAAATTCTAAATAAAATATTAGCAAATATAATACAGTAATGCATTAAAAATAAGTTTTATTCAGAGAATGCAAGATGTACTTCAATATCCAGATGTCTTAATTTATTATATCGACAGTGTATTTTTTTGGATTCTCCATATATCAGATTTAAACTTTCTATGAAAAAGGCATTTCTTAAACTTGGATGTTGCTTTCAGGTTTCTAACTGTGCTGGTGACAAATAAGCATCGGGCCCACTGTGTTAAAATACAAAACATTTTATATTTGAAATAAAAGTAAATATATTAATAACACAAGAATGAGTCACTAAGACAAAAATTGCTGAGGTATCCACTGAGTGGTGTTTTGAATGCGATGGTCATTTCTGAGAGTGCAGCATCGTTGAAACAATTTCTTCCTGAAAGAAAATGAAAAAAAAATTCAAATTAATTGTACAATTTCAGTGTATTTATGGGCAGCTGGAGGCTTGGGTAAAAACATATTTCAGAACCAAATCACGTGCTTCAGTCCGTTATCTGTTGCTACACCTGAGAGACTGAGTGATTCATAAAAAACAAATTTATTTCTTACAGTTCTGAGGCTGGGAAATCCAAGGTCGAGGGGCTACATCTTGTAACGGCAGCTCAGGGCA